GCATCGAAGCTCTGTTTTGGCATTTCATCGCAAACAGTTGCTTTGTGAATTGGGTATATGGCTTACGTATATATGTATATCTCTTGGTTGTTGTTGTTGTTGCTTGTTTTGTTTATACACTTGGTTGCTTTGCTACCAATGTATATTTGTATGCGAGTTTGCCAGATACATAACAGGTAAAACCGCGCTGTCATCACTAGATCCGATTATGTTGATTATGCAATAAATAAATTAAAGTGTAAGGCACACGCAATACACTTGAATAGTATTTACCCACACATATATACCTAAGCGGATAAATACATGTGTTTTAGTATAAAATGTGAAATACTGTGTTTTGTATGAGTAAATTTTGGTTTAGTCATTATGAAAAAAACAAGAAAATTCCTAGGAAAAACTCAAAGAAGTTGAGCTTCATTTCACAAAGTATATAATAATTGAACTCTTTGTTTTTTGTTGTTTTTTGAGTTTTGTTTATTGTATAATAGCATGATGATTTAAGAACTAATTAATCACTAAATCTGGTGGAATCCAATAATTGAGCGAGATATTTCCCTAACAAATTTTTTATGAGCCCACACCCATTCTTCCTGTTCTATATGAAGTAATTTTAACCCACCTGTAAGACTGGTCACTGTGTACGGGATGCAAGAAACTTTGGAATAGGAAGCAAAAAATAAAACATAGTCGCCACAAAATGCGAAACTTCGAAGCGCCTCAAGATGGTGCTGTTCGGTTCCACCAACGCCTGCCTGCCTTTAACCAATTATTATCCTTAACTTAACAACAGAAACCTCAATAATTATATATACTTGTCCCAATAAAAGGATGCCCGTTCACAAAAAGTGATGTTGATGATGTGTGAATGTGATGAGAAAAAATAAAATTTCTTTCTTCATGTACAATTTTTACGTAGTCTCGTTTTTTGTAGGACTGAATTTTATATACATGAATATATTCAAAGAAAACATAAATAAATGTAATAAGTTTACAAACTGTTATTTTAGTTCGAATAGGCATAGTAGCATTAAAATATAACAACTTAAACCACAACGAAAACAAACAGGCTTAAAAGGCTAACAACAAAAAATAAATAAAAAAAGAGGAAAAATGAAAAATGTCAGCAGAAAATTGCTTAATGCACAATGACTGAGGCTCTTCAGCAACAATTTATAGTCATATAAAGGACATTATGTTGATATTTACATAAGTACCAAAATACCTAGATATGTACCCATGAAAATTTGTGCTTTTGTTTACATTTTTGAAAAGAAGCAAAAAAGCAGAAGCCCACAATGTCCATGGAAAATTATTCACTGGCAGAGTCAAGTGAAAGAAACGCACCAAAAACCAATTGGAAACAACAGATATAGAAAACCAAAAATTTACATATGTACATATATGTATATACATGTATGTTATGCATCTTCAGCGTCAACCGAAAAATGTCACGTATACGACATGGCGTATTTACTTGCGGTGGCCAGGATTGCCCGAAGCAAAGCAAGCGTGCGCATAATGTTTCTGTATTGGATTACTAAAAGCCAAAATAGAAAAACAGTTAGAATTTAATAGCATCACATACACTCGTACACAAACATACGCACGGAGGGATCTAATTTTGAATATTTTTTTTTTTTTAAATTAAAATGTAACACATGCCAAAATATATGGAAAGAGGTTAAACTTCAAACTTTTATAACATTTTAAAATAAAAAGTGGAATGAAATAGAACAAATGGGAATGAAAAATGCAAAAAAAAATTAAGTAAATATAAATATAATCAAGAAAGTATGTAGAGCTGACTTCAGCAATGTTTAAGTGTTAATATCTTTCATAACCTTACCAAATTTAATATACTTAGTTTTTGGATTAAATATTAATTCTCGTATCTGGCCACTTGTATGGTGGCTAAATGATATAGTTCTTCGATTTCAAAGTTTATTTGCATAAAAGTGTGCAGAATATCAAAATCCACCAACTAAGAGGTGTTTAATTATAATTCTGGCTGGTTTTGTAGAAAAATCTCAAACGCTGAGGGCTAGACTACGTACAAAAAGCTGTCTACATCTACTCAGCTCAGTGTTCTGATTCAACTAGTTTAAATTTTGGTGGATCAAGGTTATATCTCTTCTCCTTCTGATACCTACTTAACACTTAAGTCATATAAACTTAAAATTTAAATTTAATTTAATGTAATAAAATTAAGGAATAAAAATTCAATATAACATAAAATAAAATAAAACAGCATAAAATAAAATAAAGTAATTTTTAAAAATATTAAGAAAAATTTATAAAGTATAATAAAATGTAATTAAAAATAAAATAAACGATTTATTAAAATAGTAAAACCTGAAGTCTCAACATTACAAAATTAATATTGAATTTTTATTAGTTTTTTTTTTTTTTTTTAATAAAAAGAGCTTGTTTATTTTTTAACGGGAATCGGATAAAAACTACTAAGAGATTTGATCCCTAAATCTCCTTTTGGTATTTACATATTTCGAGCCAAAGCTAATATACCATTTTATGTTTATGAAAGGTATAAAAATAAAAATAAATAGGAAAGTAAAAAAGTACGCTCTCTGCATAGCTGCGTTTTGGCTCATTGATGTAAGTATGCTTATGTTTGCTTAAAGGGCGAGACCCGTCGCTTTTTGAACAAATTCACCGCTGGTAAATATTTGTATACATTAGTGAGCGCTGGCAATCGTTTTTGTTTTATTTTTATTTTTCGTTGAACTCTTTGCTCTTTTAAACACAGCCATTGTCCCTAAATGACAGACAACAGTTGTGTCTTCTCACTGCATACATATACAACTGCTTCACCCCTTCAACAAAGTGTTGGTACTTTTTTCTGCTTCGCTGGCTTTTAACTAGCCTTTCGCTTGAATTTAATTTATTGTTTATATATATAAATCTATACTTTTTTTGTTGTTCACAAAAACGGTTTGCTGGCTCCACCACTCAAAGTTCATTTGTCTGCATTAACGCTTGGCATTTGTTTAAGGTTAATGGCTGTCAGAAAGTTTTTTGGTCACCCCCAACACACTTAGCTACGAATATTTAATGTGCTTGCGTGTATTTGCGGTTGTGCATTGTTACGTAAATCAACCGCCAACTATTTGACATGACAAGTTGCCTGTCACACTCGTGCCGGCTGAGTCTTTGCTCCATTTGACGTTTTTTGTCAATATGTCGGCCAGCTGTCGGCTTTAATACTTTTCTAATTTTTTCCTTCTCCTTTCCATTTTTCATTTCGGCAACAACTATTTTTTCTGTGTTTAAGTAAAAAGGTGGGCATTTTCAACATCCCGCTCACACTTAAATATTTAATAGATTTGGCATAAGTTGCAAATTTGAATTTTAAAGCCGACAAGATAGAAAGCGTTTAATAAATATTATTTAAAATTGTGCGTTGAAATACTTTTTGAGAGAACATAGTAGAGCGTAGTGAGTATATCACTAAATATTAGTAATATCTCTTTTGGTAGAAGCAATTATAAGTAATGATTCGATTAAATAATTTTCCGCAATGAAAAATATTTGATTATTTTTAAAAATGCTACTTTGGCATATACAAATATAAAATGTAAATTAGTTTTTTAATAATAACTTGTTTACGTTTTGGTTGCCTAATTGTATGCAACGTGTTGACTTAACTGTGTCCAAATTAAAATAACGACGCCTACATTTAGGAGCTTTGTAAGCAAAATTAGCAGAGACACATACCGTGTTGTTTGTTCAATGAAGTGATATGAATTTTATCATTATTTTTATTTGACAATAAATAACTCGTAGCTTTTTTTTGTTGTCGGAAAGTGTTTAGTATATCAATTCTCTTTTGAGATTTAATCTTGAGGCGTAAATGTTTAGCTTTTTTTCATTTATTACCTGTGTATCATAAACATGTATATCTTAAAAGAGTGTAGACGTTTCATGACTGAATTTTTACGAAACAAGGTAAAAGAAATTAAATTATGATTTTGGTAATTTTTATTGCTTGCTTTGAAGACTGGTCTTAATCAGCTCTATTCTTAAAAAAATCGAAATAAAATAAAATATTCCTTCCTCTTAGTTATCGCCTATTTTTTAAACTAGTTTTTATTTAACTTGATAATATTCAATAAAAAAATCATTCTGTCTCACGGGTTTTCTACTATAGACATTTCAAAGAGATGTTTTTATCATATATTTTTATATTAAAAAACTTACTATCGTCAATAAAAAAAAAATTTACGAGTTTTTGTGCTTTTAAAAAATGATTAATTTACTATTCTTCATAACCTAAAAAACAACGAGCCCATTTTGGGCTATCCGTATATAATATGGCCCCATAATACGGCCCCATAAAAAAATGACATTAATTGAATAAATTCATGTTGCACATGTAACCAAATTTACTCACATGAACTCCACTGTTTATATATGTTTATTATTTTAAAATAAAATTGACATTTCATTTATTTTCTATTAGTTTATTTTGTTCTTTTCTCCCCACAAATGTCTTTGAAAAACATTTTAACTGCAACTTGTTTTCACTATGCAACACCGTTACCACTCTTGTTGTGACATATACAGGTGAACACTTTAACTGCATAATTTAAGGCTCGTAAATAATGCGACTGACTGCGCACACGGACTATCTGCGGCGTCGCATGAAGGAAGGTGTGCACACCACAGGGAGCATTTACATTTGGGACAAGCGTTTACGTCACTCCGTTGGCAATGCATCATTTGTTGTTGATGCCATTGGTAAACCGCAATGGTGTAAATAGTGTAACAGCGAAAAATAACAACAAAAAGGAGAAGAAAACAACACAGCGCACGTAAATAACTCAATCAGTTTGAGTGGAAAAAACGGTAGAGGGGAAAAAGTAAAGCTACAATTGAACAGCATTTAATGAAACGGTAAATACTGAGGCTTTTTGTGCGAACCTAAAAGTAAAAAACATACAAAAATAAACACGAAATTAAACTATATGAAATAGTTTGTTTTTCTTTATTTAAGTTTTTATGTCATTTAATGTTCTATATTCAGCATAATTCTATAATTCCTTATATTTGTATGTGTTTTAAGGAGTGTTGCCTCCATTTTGGCTTATATTCCAATAAATTTAGCTAAGACGCATACCATTTTATTCAGACAATAAATGGACTTTATTTCAAATTAAACATTTTAAATGAGCCTCACTTTTCATTGTGCTAGTAGTGCTTGAAAAACGCATTGATGCGATGTTTTTTTTTTTTTTTTTGGAATACATATATAAAAATATTTCATTTATTATATTTTTTAAACTGAAATTCCTTAAAATGGACAACATAACCAACCAAAGTCGTCTTGCTGAAAGCACATGCCGTGGGATGTGCAAATTATGGGTGCGCTGGAACGAGCATCGAGGAAACTAAATATGTTTTCTTCCGCAATTTCCAGACGGTCGCGCACCCAAACGAGTAACTCATCGGCAAATTCCGGGTAGGTGGGAATGCTCTGCGGGAAAGAAAAAAGAGAAAATTCAATAAGAAGGTTGCATACTGATGACAAAGTAATAAAACTGACAGTGTTTTTTAAAACGATAAAAATATTTTTCTAATTTTATATCTTTAAATGTCTAAATACTAACAAATGCTCTCATAGCAGATTAAGTATCTAGTGGATGATCAGTAAGTCGTCTAGAATGACATTGAAATCTATTAGAGTAATCTGTAGAGAGACATTATTTATCAACGTCCATTTTCTCCAATATGAACAAAGTCTTCCATTAAGGAGGCATAATGAACTTACCTTCTAGATGGCAAAAATATTTATTGAGCAAAACGCTAAATATGGTAAATAAAGCCTAAAAACAATGGATTGCTTTTTACTAGACCCACTATGTTAAATTCTTTAATTTTTGTTTAATAACAATCACCGAAGTTATCGCAGAGTAACTAAAGAAATATAACAACAGCAAATAAATCTCATAACGGTTTTCTTTATGATACCACTATGATAACACTTTACGGTATCGTACTTTATTTGGGGTATAATAAGCATAAATAAGATGCAGAAGGGAATGTAAATTACGATCGCAGCCCTTCAACAGTTTAAGTAAATATTTCAAGCTAATAAAATATATGTCAGTATGTACATATTCCATTATTATTATACCCACCGGACCGATCATAAAGAGATAGTATCTCACACTTTTCCCAACAACAAAAAATGCAGCAAGCGTTGCTTATAAATATAAGAACTTCCCAGTGCCCTCGAAAAGCGGCTGCCTAGTGAGCAGCAGCAGCAAGAAATGGAATTGCAAAAACAGCAACAACAGCAAATGAACGCTATGAAGTCAGCGCGTGTGGTGATCATCGGCGCCGGTGTATCAGGCATAGCGGCAGCGACTCGTCTCATACAGTCAGGTTTTGAAAATGTAGTACTGCTGGAAGCGGAAAATCGTTACGGTGGACGCATACACACAATACCGTGGGGGGAGAATGTCGTCGATTTGGGTGCACAGTGGTGTCACGGCGAGCGGGATAATGTTGTATACGAGCTGGTGCGTGATCTCGAGCTGTTATCACCGATTACTGATCGTTGTGATGATTACAAGTGTGTGCGTTCCAATAAGGAGGTGGTGCCCGATTCAGTTACACAGCGCCTGCAATCGATCGCTTACAATTTAATACCCGATCGCCAAGCGGGTTTGAAAGAGTTCGAAGGCTCACTGGGCTCTTACCTCACTGAAATGTATTGGCGTGAGCTGCAGGAGACCGCGCCTGATATTGACAAAGCCGTCGCGCATGAGTTCTTCGAGAACTTCAAGTGGTATGAGTGTACGGAGAAGGGCTCCGATCATCTGTTTGACATCTCCGGTAAATCGCATCTCGATTATTGGTTTTGTGAGGGCGAACAATTGATAAATTGGCAGCATAATGGTTTTGGTAGTGTATTGCGTGTGCTGATGAATGCGAAAAAGGACGATCCCAATGACTTGGGTCTACTCAACAAGCGTATACAGTATAATGCATATGTGGAAAATATCGAGTGGAAAACACGGCATGGGGGTGTGCACTTACGCTTGCGGTCTGGTGAACTCATCGAAGCGGATCATGTGATTTGCACAGTATCCCTGGGCGTGCTCAAGGCAAATCATGAGAAAATGTTTACACCAACATTACCGCTCGCTAAAAGTCTAGCAATTGAGGCGCTTGATATAGGCACGATCGATAAATTTTTCTTAGAGTTCGAGGAACCCTTCAAACCACTCGACTGGCCTGCTTTCTGTTTACTTTGGCGCGCAGAAGAGCTGTCGGAGCTGCGCAAATCGGATTACTATTGGTTGGAGAGCGTTTTCGGTTTCTTTCGTGTGGCTAGCCAGCCTCAACTACTGCTTGGTTGGGTTATTGGTCCCGACGCACGTCACATGGAGACGCTCCCTGAAGCGGAGGTACTCACTGCATTACAATGGCTCTTCAAGAAATTCTTAACTTTTGAGGTGCCTACACCAAAACGCTTTTTGCGTACACGATGGTACAGCAATCCGAATTTCCGTGGCAGTTACTCATTCCACACGCTACGTGCAGATGAGGCGCGCATCGGCTTTGCGGATTTAGCAGCGCCTTTGGTGGATGAAAAAAATGGTAAGCCATTGCTACAATTCGCCGGCGAAGCTACACATCCACACTTCTACTCAACGGTAAATGGGGCGGTGGAGAGTGGTTGGCGAGAAGCGCAACGCCTGATAGCCCATTACTATTTGCATCCAAATGCGCAGTTATAGGGAGGTGAGGTGATAAGGAAACATGCAAGAGTCTCTTTTTCGTAACTTGCAAATGGCATTTGATAAAACATGAAATTGGCGATTAGTTTTATGTATATATATATATATATATATATGTTTGTAAATATTTATTACATAAATAAAACACACTTTAAGGTCTTTCCGGCAAATTTTTCAGTTAACATGGCGTATTATTATTATTATAGGAAGTAAATTTTTTGATCAATGGGACTTGAGATAACAGAGGAAATGCTCACAATTGGAAATTTTCTCAAAGCGACTGCAGCTTAAGAGTTTCGCTGTTGTGAAATTTCCAGCAAATAAGTCTTGGCTGATTAAATATTCCTTAATTAGCTTTAAGGGTCATTTAAGTGCACCAACAGTCATCGCAACTTTTCTTCACTTTCCTTCACTGAGAGTAAATGCCAACTTGGTTGACTTGAGTGATCCCTCCGCATTACTTATCTACATATATCACATCTATATTCATAATAAAATTTTAGTTATTTTTACATTTTACTTGCCGAAGCCACAACCCTCCTCCCTATTGGATCCTTTCTATTGGGTTCTCCGATATTGAACAATATTTGTTTTTGAACAAGATGTGGCCACCTGCCATACAACACGAGCGATTATGGTTATATTGCGTGAGAAATTTTCCAGCCGCGTAGTCTTGGCGAAATCAATTGGCTACCGAGCTCATGCGATTTGACATGGGTGGGCATTTTTTGTAGGCTACGCAAAAGACCGTGTTTTCAGAATGAACCATTAACTCTTGAGCACTTAAAAAACAACATTCGTCAAGTTATGGCTTGGTTTGCAAAAATTTACAAGCTGGGCATTTCAACGATCTAGTATTTCTCAAGGTTCAATCCTTACAATCAAATAGAAATTGAATGAGAAAAATTATTTATTATAATTTTTTTTTTGTACAACACAAAATGAATAACCCTGCATAATTGGTGCTTCGTAACCATGAAGTGTTTAATTGCAATTTGTTCTTACTTCATGGACGGCATTTTAGTTTAAATAATTACACTATACTTGTATATATATTTATATTATATACATATATCAATAAAGTTGGCGCTTTATAACCGCTGAAGCGATTTTTCGGCCGATCTTCTACTAAAATTTGTGGTTTTGCGTCTAGATGTTTTTCCAAAAAATGATGGGACCTGCAATTTATACAAAGCCGCCACCGTACGGCTGATGGTTTTTTTTTGGAGGAGCTTCAATTTCATGCTATAAATACACTCGGAGGGACGAGGGGCGCCCGTTATTACAAAGTTTAACTTAATTTTTTAATATAAATTATATTTCTATAATTTTTGTATTTTGGTCGTACCAGAATTTGAACCCAGGCCTTCCGAATAGCTATTAAGAAAAATAAAAAAAAAATCTTTTTAATTACGAAATGTGTACTGCTGCAGCAGCAGTTATAAAAAAGTAATATTACACATAGATAAGTACATCCACATATGTATTTGTTTACATACATATATGTTATAACTAAATTTTATATTATTGCAATAAAGATGTTACGTTCGGTTAAGAATATTATCTAAGAAGGTGCAAGTGCAAATACTTGATTTATTGCACTTTGAGGCTATAAAATCAGATTCATTGTACACATATAATTATTAGATAATAATTTTTATACCAAAATATTTACTTAAATAAATTGGAAAATAAAAGAGAAAATAACTAATTTATATTTGTCAACTACGCCAAAGAACAAAATTTCACTGAAATTCTCCTTCTCTTTCTCTCTCCTTCTCTTTCTCTCGCATACTCCCACCACACAAGCCAAAGTCAATTTAATTAAACAAACGTGATAAATTATAAGCAAAAGCGATTCGAGGAAAATTTGCCAAGTACGTATAAATTGGGACATAAGCAAAAGGGATTAATTCGTAAATGTCGTATAGACATACTGAAAGCACTGTTAAGCGCTTTATATTGTACATATATGACTAAGATTTTGGAAATTCTTGGTTATATTTGAAATATTTATGCTGCCGTACTTGTATTGTTCTTTACAATGGTATGACATATTAAATGCTGCCTACACAGAAATGCACAATCATACATACATAATACAGACATAAATGAATACATAGATAGATACACACAACAGAAAATAGGCATCCATCTACGATTAACACGCATGGTTATGAATATTTATGAGCTCACATATACACATATTTATGTATGAGCGTACGTGAACACGTCGAGCACAACAAATCAAGTAGAAAAGGTAGATCATCGGTTGTCTATATGTTTGTTGTGTACGGAAGTAGCGCAAGTCACGTTACTTAACAGCGTAAATCTCATACGCACAATCAACTTTAAAGCTTCGCAAGTACTTTCATAAAAGGGGATGAATAAAACTTCGGTCTGTTGAAGACTTTTAATTTTTTTTTGTTAGTTTTAAAAATGCCAAATCCTTGGAAGTTGCTTTATTAGTCTTACCCAGACGAGAAAAAACTTAATACAGCTGAGGATTGATCAGACGAGATTCCACCACCAACGTAAACAGAAATCCGCCATGTAATTTTTTTCGGGTTTCGGCGTGACTTATAGCCAATACAAATCTTCAGTGAATGCGAAATTGCATATGGAACGATTGCACCGTCTTTAGAGACTATTTCTAAGAATCCAGACCGGACATTTTTCCATGGAGGCTGAGCCCCGAGCAGGACAACTAAAGCCTTGCTCTGGTGAAGTCTACAATTCAGGCAGACCTACAATTGACACAAGAAATGATTGCTAATGAATTGGACTTGAATGCCATGGCTGTATTGGGAATATTAAGTAATCATCTGGGATACACAAAAAAAATCTGCTCGGTGGCTACCATGAATTTTAAGCGAGGTCCAAAAAGAGGCTCGAGTGCATTTTGCTCAATTTTTCCTAAGCAAATATGGAAATGGTCAATCTAGCAACTGTAGTAAAGTCGTTACTTGTGACGAAACTGGGCTATAGACAATAAGTACGATCCAGAAACCAAGCAGCAGTCCATGGTATAGATCCCAACAGGAGAAAACCTACTCGTAAAATCTAAGCAACAAAAATCAGCAGCAAAAGTAATGATGTCCGTTTACTTCACCCGATGTAAATCGTAGCTACTATTGCACTGAGAAAGGGTCAGTTGCTAACTGCAAAATGGCACATCGTTAAGTGCTTACCATAAGAAATACGTCCAGCACCATATTCCCCAGATATGGCACCGCATGATTTCTGGTTATTTTTCGAAATAGAAAGAAGAATTGAAAAGGAAAGGTCTTTCTTCAACGAGTAGATAATAATGCAGAACATCACAAGCTTAAAAAGCAAAGATTACGAATAAACACAAAAATTTTTGTTCTCCTGTTCAACTTACCAAACTAATGTTAATACCATCGTTTATCTACAATCAAAGTTGCGCATACGCCATGGTGAGTTACTAAAGGTTACAGAACTTTTTATGAATATTAGTGGAGCACCAAGGACAACGCTTAGTGAAGCTTTGAATATGATACTCATTATTTTGCCACTGCACTTGGCGGTATATCAATCGGCAGCAGTGACTGCACTTCCTTTAAGAAGAGTTAAAACAATGGGCTACACTGGCATGGCGACACTCAGCAATACTAGATAGGTACGACTTTATACCAAGTTATACAGATCAATGTGGTCCAATGGAATACAAATTCCCAGCTAGAAAGAATGGGTAGATAGTTGTAATACTCCAAGGGATAAGCTGGAAACATACACAGATGGGTTAAAACTTGAGGGGCAAATTGGCGAAGGTGTCTTCTCAGAAAACCCCTTCCCTGACCACTGCAGTGTTTTCCAGGCGGAACTAGAAAGAAAATTAACTGTAACTGGTAACTGTAAGGCAGATGAACATGCGGGGCGAAGTACGACCAAGCGGATTCTTCTCGGTAAAGAACGCATTGGTTTACCGTTTGCTACATGCAGATTGCTTTTCATGGAATTCATATACGAAAAAACCTTTAGAAGATGAAATGGCATAACAGTCTGCCGCAAAACCAGGCACACAGGGCCGAAATGGGGTAAGAAGAAGCTGATATGTACTCCTAAAAAATAGGTGGCATATCCAAGGTAATAGGAGTTCCGACAGGTAACTTTCTGTTAGGACGATATGCGGAAAGACTAGGAACTCTCCATAGAAGGTGGTGCAGAAACTGCAAGTAGGATGACTGTCCCGGGGCGGGGTTTCGTAATTTTGTGACTCTACTGCTGAATAGTCTACCGAAGTTGGCTGACGTTAAAGTCAAGGCTTTAGAGAGGTTTATTAGAAAATCAAAATGTATGGATGATGTATCCTGATGGCTTTTGGTATCACAATGTGTTTTAGTCCGACCCGATATATCGGTAGATACTGCAACGTAACGTAATCATTTCCGTAAAACTCCTTTTTAAATTTTTTCCCCATAAGATAATTGCCTTTTTTTTCAATATCACTCGCCCTCAGTGGAGATAGCTACCGGCCTTTGTAACTTCCCATGATGATATATCTATGTATTGGCCCTCTCCCTGCCGCAAGCAATATTCCCGACAGCACCAAATAGTTGAAAAAGCAAAGAAGCAACAAATCGGTAATATAAAATTTTCGCTCATTTAACATTCAAAGACGCAAAAACAAAACGAGGCAGCTAAGTGGCTTCACTAACGGTACCTGGGTGATTGCAGAAAATTAAATTCAATTAAGAGTAACTATGAGATGAGCACAACCAACACAGCCGCACAATGACGGCAGCAGTGACGGGGATGGCGCAGAGAAGGATATAAACAGAGCAGATGCTTCCGCAGCACAAACAAACAAATACGCCTCTGAACAAACAAACAAGCTAGTCATTACTATACATACATACATACAAACATATACCGTTACATGAAAGAAGCAAATCCAGTTGAATAATTTCTCAATTTAATGGCAACCTACAATGCGACACTTGACGACAAGCAATAAAAAAGTAAAATCTACTTTCGGCTCGAGAATGTACTAGCTGTGCATTGGATGGCTATGCGTGAGAGAGGTGAGTCGATGATGAGCTTGCATTTGCACCTGCACAGTATGTGCGACGAAGCGAAGGCGGTGCTGATGTTGGCGTATCATTAACTATGGCAGGGACAATGGCAATGGCAAAAACAAGCAATTCCAACAACAAAC